TCGTTTTGAGCATGATTTGCGAGAACAGTTCGAATTTGTTCACTTTCTGCATTAGTCTTGGCTTTGACGGTTCGTTTTTCAGGTGCTTCAACTAGAGATGGTTGTAGGTTGGGCCAGTGCCTTTCATCTTTGGTCAGCCAATCTGGTCCATTCCACCAGAGTGAGGAACATATTAATGTGTCAGCTAATACACCACGAGAGGCTAAATCAGCTGGATTTACTGCTGTTGGCACGTGTTTCCAATCACTTCTGGGTAGGGTCTCTTGTATTTGTGAAACTCTGTTTGCAACAAAAGTGTTCCACGTTCTTGCAAGTTGAGCAAGCCATTGCAAGACAATTGTTGAATCAGTCCAGGCGTGTGAAGTTATCTTGAGATTTGTTTTCCTCATAATTGAATGAACTGATTTAAGAAGTTTGGTAGCTAAACTTGCACCGCAGAGCTCTAATTTGGGAACAGAGATTGCTTTGACCGGAGCAACCTTTGTTTTGGAGGTCAGTAGATATGCAAAAGTTTTGCCATCATCATTGGTAATTCTTGCATAGATTGCGGCTGCATATGCTTTTTCGGAAGCATCACAGAATACGTGAAGTTGAACCTCCTTTATTGGATGTGAGCTCATAGATCTTGGTATTCGTAGTTTCAGTAGTTGAGGCAATGTTCCGGTGAGCTTATACCATTTTTCCTTGGTTTTCTGATCGACTTCAGAATCCCAATCAAAACCTTGGACCCATAGTTGTTGCATGAGACATTTGAAATTGATGATGAACGGAGCTAGCCATCCCATCGGATCAAACAATTTTGAGATTGTGGACAGAATAGTCCTCTTTGTAAGCAGTTTCAGCTCTGGTAAGGCAGTTGAAAAACAAAAGATGTCCTTATTGGGCTTCCAACTGACTCCTAGCGCCTTGATTTTGTATTCGTCAGAGAAAAGTTCCAGCACATCCGATTTTTCGCGGAGATGTTCTGGCAATCCTTCAATTATTTTAGCATTGCTTGAAGTCCATTTTCGTAGAGGGAATTCATAAGAGTTCAGCTCTTCGCATAAATCAGAGATGAGTCTTTCTGCTTCATGCTTATCATTAGCGCCACCAAGAAAGTCGTCTACATAGAAACAATTTTTGAGACTTTCTTTGATCATTGGGTTCTTAGATTGATTTGCTACTTGATTGAGGCATCTTGTTGAGTGAAACGCTGACGAAGCTATTCCATATGTAACACGTGTCATCCTGAGATGCTTGATTTCATCCGATTTATTTGATCTCCAAAGTATGCGATGGAAATCCTTCGATTTGTCCTCTAGAGCAACTTGTCGGTACATTTTTGCGATATCTGCTGACAAAACAATCGGGTAGAACCTGAAGCGCATGATTATCGAGTAGAGGTCGTTTTGTACCGTGGGACCAACCATCAAAGTGTCGTTGAGTGATTGTCCGGTTGATGTTGTTGCAGATCCGTCGAAAACTACACGTAGCTTTGTGGTAGTAGAATCTTCCTTGAAAACGCAGTGATGTGGCAGATAATATACGCTATCAACTGGCTTTTCGATTTCTCCAGGCGGTATGTACTCCATATGCCCCATATCGAGAAATTCGTCTATGAATGCGGTATAGCGATCTTTAAGTTCTGGATTCTGTTCCAGTCGTCGCTCGAGATAATTGAATCTGCGTTTTGCTTGTGCTAAACTGTCGCCAAGTTGACTATTGGGCTTGAAAGGCAGCTGCACGGTGAATCGTCCATTTTGTAGTATGGTTGTTTCCTTAAAGTGAGATTCACATCGATCTTCTTCTGTTGTTGTCTTTTTGAAATCGGGAATTTCTTCTAATTCCCAAAATTTCCTTAGACTATCGTCAATAGACACATGAAATGACTTGAAGAAGGTTGTTGGAGGACCGGGTGTTCTGCCGCTAATCATCCAACCAAATATAGTGTCACGTGCATAAAGCTTGTCTGTAAGCTTAATCTTTTCGCAGCCAACAATGTCGTTGTAGACATCACAGCCTAGGATTATATCGATTTCCTTTGGTTTGTCAAAGTCTGGGTCCGAGAGCTTAAGACGTGTGATATCCAAACTGTTCGGTATATTCACCTGTTCTCTGGGCAGGTAGCCAGAAAGTTTTTGAAGAGTGAAGGCTTCAATATGTAGAGATTGATTCTGAGAATCCTTTGCTTCCAGATTGACAGAACCAGATTTCACAGTTTTTGCTCCTCCGCCAACTCGAGTTAGTTGAAGAGTCAATTTCTTGATTGGTAGCTTGAGTCGGTTGGCACAGCTGGTTGTAACGAAACTGCATTCAGATCCGCTGTCCAGTAAGGCTCGACAATTGTGATAACCGCCATTTGCAGTTTTCACCTCAATTAGTACAGTTCCCAGTATGGTAGTGGCACATGTACTAGTACCCCCATGACCCGTAAACTTATTTTCAGGTCCGGGTTGCTTGTTTGGGTCTGTATGGATGTGAAGTAACGTATGATGACCCTTTCGACAGGTTTGGCACGTTGACTTCGACTTGCACTCATGATTTTGGTGTCCAAGGGACAGGCAATTGAAGCATAATCGCTTTGATTTGGCTTCTTGTCTTCTATTGGAAATAGACATTTCCTGAAATTTTGTGCATTGATACACGCGGTGATCACCACTGCAGCATGGGCAGCTGATCGTCTTAGCAGAGTTCGTGTGGTATGTCTGTACCTTGTCATCTTTCTTAGAATTTCCAGATTGGTCTGAACTTCCTTGATGATTTTTTCTATGAATTGAAGGTAACTGGAGGTCCTTCGTAGCTTCTAGGGCGCGAGATCGTTCCTCCAAGAACTTCTTCATCTGCTTGATTTTTGGCATGTCACTTCCCGCGCAGGAAAGTTCCCATTGTCTTCTAGTTTCAGGATCTAATTTCTTGGCCAAAACGTGAACCCAGATCAAATCGCATTGATCAATTTTTAGTCCAAGTCCTGTCAGTGCCATCGTGTTTTCCGTGTAGGTGTTAATCAAGCGACGTATTGCAGCGGATGACTCATGCTTCATTGGGGTGAATTCAAAAATTGCTTCCAAGTGAGCGTGTGAGATCATCTTGACATCAGCATATCGATCCTTTAGAAGTTCCCTTGCGACTGAGTAGTTCGCGTTTGTAGTAGGCAAGTGGGATATCAAACGAAACGGTTCATCCTTGAGGGCACCCTTTAGGTATTGCAGTTTCTGAACATCAGACAGCGATGCATTTGAGTGAACTGCTCCATCAAAGGAATCTAAGAAAGGTAGCCATTGATCATACCTTCCGCTAAATGTTGGCGAATTCAGTTTCGGCAACTTCAGGCAAGTATCTTGTTTTCGACCAGCACCACGTTGGGAAGTGGATTTGTAGGATCCGGTTTCGCTTGCGCTGTCGTCATCTTTGACCGATTCAGTTGAACATTTTCCTCGGTCATCTAACATAGTTGTGATCATTTCCATCAAACAATCTACTTGAAGGTAGATTTTCTCAGCTTCCTCCAACTCAACTTCAAGTGCATCTTCATCATCGTTTAGAAAATTTGAAATTTGCTGATTAAGCTCTTCCAGTTCCTTTTTCTTTCGTTCGCACATCGTGAGATTGGCCTTGAGAGTTCCAATTTCCTTGTAAGTTAGAGCAGATGCCTCTTTGTCGAAGATTGCTGAGACGGCATTTTCCGATCGGGTAATGACACCGATGTTAGCACTTCTTGATCGCTTCAAAGCAGGAAGAGTGAGCGTCACGTTGCTCATGTCACTAGCAGGTGATGACATTTTTAACTTTCCTCTTTGTTTCTAGTCTTTGGTTCGTTCGTGAGTCGCGTTGCACCAAAAATGTTGTGCAGCAAAAGTTGGGAAATGAAAAATCACCAATCCGACTGAATAAAACTAGTGATTTGCAAAGAGTGTAAATTATTTCACGAGTTATAGATAGAAGTCAATTGATTTTTGTAAAAACGCGGTTTTAAATAAGTAAATCAGTTCAATAGTAGAAAGCTGAAATGTCTTTTTTAGGCTTCAACAGAAGCAAAAATTCCCCCCCCCCCCCTCAAAGGCACCTTAGCGAGCCACAACCGTTTTTCTTGTTTCAAAATCAGTCCAGGAACTGTATTTTAGAACAAAAAACATCGAACTGATTCACTGACAAAAACTCAAGCGAATCAGCGCGAGTGTACAGCGGGATTTTTCCTCTTGTTTTGTTAAAAAGGTTTTTTGTTCCGACCATTGAAAACCGGAAGGAACTTTGTAATCGGTTCTGTTTTTTTTTCTTTTTGTTTTCCACGCAACATCAGGTAGGTATCTTCGGACTGGGTTGAGTGATAAATCAAAAAGGCCCTTTCAGTCGTGGTTGAGACGACGTTTTGAAATTTCAAAAAAAAATTTCAGTGTCGAGAAAAATAGGTTTGAAATTTTTGATTTTTCGTCTAAGTTCGAGCAGGTAAAGCAAGCGAACAGGCTAACTACAGCTTATTAATGCCTAAAACATTTTGTTGAAGGTAAACAAAACTAGCATTTGGAGTTCCTAGCTCCGTTTTGGGAAACAAAAACTTCAAAAAAAATCAAAATTTTTTCTGCAAAAAAGAACTAAAAAAAGTGTTTTTTTTTTTAATTTTGATATTTTTCTGTCAATTTTTTTAAAACTTTTTTCTGATTTTTTGTATTGTCAAGTAATCTACACAAAAGTTTATGTCCAGTTTGCCAATATTACTAAGACTGTCGAATATGTCTAAATTATAGTTTTGTGTCAGATCCTTTCATCACACCACGCATAAAAAACTACACTAAAGTGAAAAAAAATTGGAGTTTTTTAAAGACTGGTCGGATCCTTGTTCAATAATGTGTTTGAATTATTGTAGGTTGAGATAACTATCTTTGAACTCAAAAACTTTTTTTAGGCGTTTTCTTAATGGATAATCATACGGAAGATAAAAATAACATTAATTTGCAAAATTCCATAAAACTGTTTCCTAATTGACCAAAAATGTTATTTTCGTGATGCAATACATATTCACTGACTGTTCCTGTTGAGTCCGGAGAAAGAGGGGGGCTGGGTGGGATACGTGCCACTGCTGGAGCCACTACTGCCCCCCACACCCATACCCACACCAGGAACACCCGGCATCTTCTGAACATTCTGTCGGCCACCTCTTGAACAAAAAGACATGTAATCAATATCTCAAGTTTTTGATGCAGGTTTTCTAAAAATGTAGTTGAAATTAGATTGCAGCAAATTTTCTATTTTTTCAAACATCAATTAACAATTGGCTCCGTACAAAAAAACTTTTTCATACAATTCCATACAAAAAGAAGATTTTCATACAATTCCATGCAAGGTATCTATTGAAAAAATGCTTATCAAAGTGGAACCAGTTTAAAACTAGTATTTATATCCAATTATATTAATTATAAAACTATCTCTATGAAATATTTGTATTTAACCAATCATGATCCATAACTAACATTTACCATTATTTTTAACGCGGAAACTATTCATAGTTTCAGCAGCAGAACAAAATACATATAACTTAGAAGAAAGTTGTTCTCCTTCAAGATAATTTCTGATATCTTACTCGCAAATACCAGTATACAACTAGATCTATCGAGACTAGGAGATAAAAGATTAAAAAGATATTAGACGAAGAAGTTGCAGAACCTATCCAGGGAAAAAAGATAGCATGACGAATAGACGAAGTACCTTATCTTAAAATACTCTATGAGTCAGCCACCCCGGACATAAACGCATCTGGTGCGACAAAGAGTCTCGAACAAGTTTGAGATCAAAATACACCACAAGATCAAAATACACCACAAAATGTTAGAAAATATAGCAAACTATAACAATGAGTAATATTCATACCCATGCTAAATAGTTCTCAATGAAGTATACCCATCTTATCTAACATAAAAACGACCGAGAAAAAATACAAGTCTCGTTCATTTCATCAAATCTGAAGTAACTTAAAAACTTTTCTGAAATTAAAGTTTATTGAAAAAATGTACAAAAATTAGTTAGTAATTTCGATTAAAGATATTTTAAAAATTATGAAAAGTTACTTGCTTCTCAAGTACTCACACCCTTATCTCTGCATAACCCAGCTTCCTTTTTCCTCCATCTAAAACATAACCATTTCAAGACTAATATCATTTGAGTCCCTTATTTTTAAATCAACCCTTTCAACATTAATACTCTTTCACTAACATTAAAACTTAAACTTAACTAATTTTGAGGCCTGTCCCTGTTTTTTGTAATAATCTGAAAATTTTTAAAACAAATTCGTCAAAGTTACCCCTGGGTCTTGAACTTTAAACTTCATTCCAAACTTTATGTTGTTTGAAACATGTTTGATCTTAAAGGCTTTCCTGGGATCAATCAAAACAAATTTTTTCTCCCCACTTCCTAGTAAAAAATGTCTAACGACCTCAAACGGCGATTCACTCTCCACCCCTTATCAGCAACCCAAGATTAATAGATTTTTTTTGAACAACTAACCATTCTAACTCAGATGAACAGTGAAGAACTTCGGTTACCCATCGTTCAATTGAGCCCCTCCTCGTGTTTGACCCAAACTTAAGCAACCATAAAACTAGTAAGATCAAGAAAAGTATCTAACTACCTTACTTGTGCTCTAATTATACCTGAATCTTGTGCGTTGACTTACAATTCGCCAACCCTTGATCACAAGTCACAACCTTAAGTAAGATTAAATCAGTTTTTGTTTAAAAAAACTTAGCCGCCGAGCAAGTACAAAATCATTCTAATGAATTGATATACTCTCTCCCCAAGCTATCTACACTCGACATTATATGCCCCAAGATTAGGATAACCTCACAAAATTTGTAAGAACTAACCGTTTAGGAAAAAGAAAACCTAACCCCTGGATTTTGCAACTATCGCTCTAACACTTATGTCAAGAGATAATCTAGAAAACAAACAAACATTATTACTCCATATTGTTTATTTCACATTGAAGGATACTCAATATTAAAAAATATTCATTTTCAAACTTCACAAAAAGCAAACTCAATTGTCACAAATGACGTTTAGTTTTTCATTTATAGTTATATTTCTATAGTGGAAACAAACAATAAATTTTATGTATCACTCCCTCAAACATCGCAATATGCAACAGTAAGACAAGAAATCAACGTTTTCTCGCCATTTTAAGATTCAAATAGTGAAAGACTCACCGATAATAAATTATCACAAATAGTTAAGGCTGATCTACAAAGATAGCTAGGATGGTTCATATTAGATAATTTTCAACGCAACTTAGATATAATCTCAACAGCAAGAAAAAAATTATGAACACAAACTTCAGACAATGAAACAAAATTAGCAGATCAAACAGATTATGCGTGGAACCCTGAATGGTCTCATATGATAATTTCCAATAGCGCTAACGATATTTCAAGTGCAGCAATTGCAACTGTCTCTGTACACAAAGATTACTTAAAAGTAACTCCACTCACCACTGACACCACACATCTAAGCTATTATACAATTTTTAATCATAGGACAAGTAAAAATAGTTTTATTTCAACATTTATATATACACAGAAAAACGCTCAATGAAACCTGAAATCTGACATAACAGGATATTCAAACCCCATCACCTTTTGTCAACAACGAAGAAATTGCAGTAACAATACCTAAAAAAGAGTTTTTTCCAAATTCATCTAACACTCACAACACCACCTAATAAAAATTGTCCCTTCCCACAAACAACACTACAATTGACAGTCAAACCATCCGTTGTTTGAAAATACTTCGATATGGATCATCATACAAATAGACCAAAAATTAAAACACGACAATCTAACAAATAAAAACACATGAACAGAAATAATTTAGCAAATCACATTTTTGGTTTTTTGCAAACACTAAAAATAGCAACCCAATAGCAAAACCACTTGACACAACGCAAAACAAACCTCAAGATCATAATTACACCCAACAGATACCAAAGCCAGTATCTCAATTAGTATTCTTTAATGAAAAACGGAAAACTCCAACAAACCGCAGCGAAAATTACCCATTTATTCATCAAAACAAAAATCCAACAAAGAAGCAATTCACAAGAAACAAACCACACTATTCTGAAGGTAAAGAGTACTTCAACCAAAACCAAGAACAGTACAAAAAAAATCTACAATAAAACAATTGGAATAAAATTGACCAACCAGATAAAATTTATCAACCAGATATTTTCAAACCTTACATGAAAACAGAAAAAACATGACAAACACAACAACACATTCCCAACCAAATAATAAAATGAAACCAAAAAACATATAAAAACTCAAGGTTACCAACCTAATGCGTTGGATTAGGTTGGTAATCTTGAGTGTTTGTATGGTTTTGTGATTGCATATTATTGTTTGGTTGTGCCAAAACTTTTTGTGCTAAATGTGCCAAAATGAAGTTCCATTACAATATCAATTACAACAAAATGAAATTACAAAAACTCGACTTACAATTTTTACCCCAATTACAAACACAGCAGAATCACTTCAAATAACAATGAATCCATACTTTATGGGTGGACCATCTATCACATCGAATAAACCACTCATGGAGTTCATAGGAAGAGATCCTGAACATTCCGTAGAATACTGCTTAATTGCAGTTACAGCATTTTAAATTTTAAGTATAGGTCCAGAACCAAAAAACACACCACTCCAGGAAAATGGGATACATAGGCGTACGAAATTAAGTTAAACCACACTTGACGGCGCAACTAAATTGTTTTTCATTTTTACCTATAGAAATTAAATTTGACTGGATAAGATTCACGCAAGCATTCTCAAAAACTTTCGATTCTGAAAGAAACGAACAACATCAAAGAGTTCTATGCGACAAAATTCGCAAAAACGGAACAATAAAACAAATCGCGAAAAGAATTAAAATCCTAGTACGAAAAACTCATTCCGTCACTACACATGATTATAAAAACACGAAAAAACCGAAAGTTTAATGATGACTGTAACACCACAATTGCATTAAAAAAGAGCATCACATCCATCATCAATCCGAGAACCTAATATAGATTTTCAAAAATCAGTAGATTAGCCAGAAAAAGCCAAAATTACACTGAAATTAGAATGAACAGACAATTTGAAACTAAAATAGGCAAGCAACGTCCAAACCACAACGTCAGATATTAATAATATCCAAGACACTGAATGAACTAGCACAGAAAAACTCAAATCTCAAACTTTTATGAAAAGTATCCGAACTTCAAAGGCAACCATCATTCGAAAAATGGTGTAACTATTGTCGCAGATATAGACATAGCATAGCTGAAAACAAACCAAAACAACAAGACAACTTAAATGGATCACAGAAGCACAGAGAACCAAGCTATTGTTTTTACCAATACATGAAAAAGAAACAAAATATGCCAAATAAAAAAGTTCAAAGTAACAATAGCCCAGGAAAACCACTCCCAAATAGCTATAGCAATAACAGATCACAATCCTTCTATCGAAATAACTGTCGCGAAAGATCACCATATCGAGGAAATTTACAGAACTATTCACAAAATAGGTATAGCAGATCAAATAAACAAAACAATCAGTACAGAAGCATTTACACGAAAAATTTCAATTAGAAGTAATTAATCAAACTTTAGTAGAAACCGTTCATATTCAAAATCTCGGAAAAGATAATGATTCAATGATTGTTCAAGAAACTCTCCGAATAGTCGAAATCGAAACGATTCAAGTAATCGTTATCGAAACTACTCGAAAGAAGACCACAAAACAACTCCAGCATTAGACCAAATAAGAATAATTTTATAATAAAAACTATCGTGATAATTCCAAAAAAAGAAAGAAAAACTTTCAAAACAGATCAAAAAAACTATTCTCAATCACCACACCAAAATAATACCCAGTTTTCAAACGCACAAAATCAAAATTATAGACGCAGTACGTCAAAACATCTAAGACAATTAAATCAAGTACAACAACCAGTTATCGACAATAGAAAAATATCAGAACCACAGTTAAGCCTCATACACTGTGAAAGCACAGATGTCAAAAGTGACACAGAAAACACACTTAAAAATAATATGCTTCAAATAAAAATGAATATGAATCACAATTTGAATCGAATTATTCCTAAATTGAAATTCTTAGTTCAAAT